CAATGAGATTGATGAAGTGATTTTTAGAAAAAGAATCAAAGCGCACTTGTGGGATAAAGCGTTTGTGAGAACTTGAACGAGCGCTATATAAACTCTACATACATATATATATATATATATATATATATATATATATATATATATATATATATATATATATATATATATATACATATACACTAAGCTTAACATTACGAAAACAATCCTTAATAAAACAACAACAATTTAAACAAACGTTACTAATAACACAAGTCAATGACGTCAAAATTAAACACTAACATGAATTATTAACAACATTCAATTCAGGATGACAACCTAAACTACTCCAAACGACGTTTCTTTGCCCTGTTGTTACCTGGATGAAGCACACCTGGAGCTTGCAGACAACCGCACAAATGAAAATGGCAGATATGCTGTCACGCGATGACGTCATTAAAGAGGCTTTGAATGGGTCGTCAAAATAATATTTAATGTTTAAAAATGAAATAAAAAAACTGTGACGTGAGATAGGTGAAAGCGATTGGCGAGCAGACGATGCAAGGCTTTACGTACTTGCCAGAAAATATTTTGATAATATGATTACATACACACACAAACAAACAAACAGACACACACGCACACACGCACGCACACACACACACACATATATATATATAATATATATATATATGTTATCATATATGTATGTATGTACGTAAGTGTGTGTGCATCTGCCCATGATTATATACAAAAAGCGCGAAAAAGGCACATGCGATAGACAGACAGACAAACGGACGGACAGATAAAAGCAGGCAGGAAACATAAAAAATTATATGCGTCTGTAAAATTCATAACTCTACGAATATAAAAATGTATATAACATACAAAAACTGACGAAATGTAATAAAAAACTTATGAAATGTCATTAGACGGAAAATATTTTACTGAAGATATACATTCAAGTAAATAATGAAAAAGTGAAACAGTGCGCAAACCAGCACAAGGAATACAACAACAAGGAAATAACAAATTCTAAAAGTAAAAAAATGAAATCAAATCTATCTTTTGAACACATTACGGCCGCAAGAGTCATGATCATTGAACGTTAAACGCATCTTAAGGTCTACATATCAAGGTACATATTTAATAAAGGATAATGATTAAACATCTCTAAATCACGTTCGATTATAGCCGTTGCAGCCACAGATCGTTACGGCTGAAATCTAGAGAAAAAAAAAGTTAAATTTTGATTTACATATGCAATAAAAACTTGTCGTTCAGTTAATAAAACCATCTGCGATGTTAACGGTGGGTCTTAAAAGCAATGTAAATAAACTAAACAAGTGAAATATGCTTCGATAACTTGAAGAATGAATGGGCAGCACTATATGAGCGTGCTTCATGAGGTATGAGGTAACTACAACTGTACAATGGCTCTTCTTCCTTGTGAACCTTCTATCACAATTTCAACGTAAAATAACATCATGAAAGAGTTAACAAAAGTGTGAGGTGGGACTTAAATAAGACTTTTTCAACAAGGCACTGCTTTACTGATGAAGTTATTTTGCTTGATACTTGTGCGTGTACATGCTTTTGTATAGAAACAAGTATGATAAAATGTTTTAAGAAATTAAACTATTCAATAACTTTCAGCTGTTAGTTAATGATTATAATAATTGGTCACAGTATACATACATCAATTTATTTTTCACAAATGATAAAATTATCTTCAACCATGGCACAGAGTAAGAGCAATCTTAAATAGGTAAACAATGAAGTAGTAGATTAGATTAATGTCATTCACAACGAATCATTAAAGCATAGATAGGATTTTCTTATTCGTGGAAGCATCAATAAAACATTTATAAAAATAATATGCATATCCTTTTATACAAACTAATGAGCGATTTAGATGTATTAAAAGCACTACCATCGTTGTAAAGTTCATTGAAACCTGAAACGTGACAGCAACACCCTGATGGCATTGACCTCAATCCTGTCACTATTTCATGTCTCTGACAGTTCCACCAACAAATTACTGTCAACCAAGCCATCCAAATCAGCCAGTCAGTTATTTGGTGGAAATGAACTATCAGCCAATAGACATCCATTTAAATTTATCACTGAATTTCTCACTGTCTTGTACTGTTAACGTTTTTGGAAAAATTCGCTCGTATACAAAACGTAGAATAAAGTCACCATAGATACTATATATATATATATATATATATATATATATATAGATAGATAGATAGATAGATAGATAGATAGATAGATAGATAGATAGATAGATAGATAGATATGTGTGTGTGTGTGTGTGCGTGTATAAATGAATGCCGCTGAACGCTATTATAGAAATTAGGTCGGTAGATTGAAATCATTGTAATATGTACATGTACACAGTAGATACACGTTTGATTGATATCATTGTAATATGTACACAATACAGATACACGTTTGAAATTATTTGGACGTTGCAATTTAAATATTAAGAATACAATACAACCAGTAGTTGTGATTAATACAAAACGCGTTAAATAGTTTCACATAAAAATCACATGCGTAGATTGTCAAATGAATATTGAACAACTAACAATAAACAGTGATCATTATAGGAAGCTTCTATTGAGGTTTCATTCATTCAGAGTTTCACAACATTTATAATGGCCACATCAAATAATTATGATAATAATAACAATAAAATAAAATTAATCATTTTGAGGGAAAGAGAGAGAGAGAGAGAGAGAGAGAGAGAGAGAGAGAGAGAGAGAGATTAAATTATTTTGAAAAAAAGAGAGAAATAGAGAGAGCAAGAGAGGATATTTCTTTTATCTTGTTTTCTTGGCAGGACTGCATTCATAGGCAAGTGGTTTGGAATCATCGTTGCTGTTGTTGTTCGTGTAGACAATAGTGTTGTCACTGTGGATGCTGTTGTGGAGAGTTTGAGCAGCAGATGAATTTTTAGAAGCATTGGAAGAATTGTACAAGCTGCTGTTTTCTGTCAGTGCTTGCTTGTCGTTGTTGATGTAATCGCTGCTGCTGTTGCTGCTGCTGTTGCTACACGTGAGGTTGGATCGTTTGTGAGGAGGTGAGGAGAGTCGCGATGAACCGCCGCTTATTAATAGTGGCGGTGATGAGGAACAGTCAGGCGATGATGAGGAAGACGATGAGGAAGATGTCATTTTTGATGGAACTGGGAGTACGGCGTCTTTGATGAATGCGTGATCGAGAGCCTGTTTTGCCGTGATTCGTTCATCTCCATTGTACACTAACATTCTCTGATATTGAAAATTGATGAAAAAATTTATAAAAAAACTTTGCAAAAAAATGTAACAATTAATCTATCTCACAGAGTATCAGTTTTTTTTTATCACGGAAATGCAAAAAATAAAATAAAGACAAGCCAGTCACGAACCTTTATTAATTCAAAAGCAGGCGGGGTGGCTTGGGGCACGAGATTTTCAAGAGATTGCGATTCAACCTGAGTAAACGTATCTAACGGTACACGAACATCGGGGAAGTCCCTTTCTGATGGTACACCTAAACATCTGAGTATCATAATGTCGAAATTCATTTGGAATATTCTCTACTAAGGTAGAAAGACAGTAATTTAACTCAATTTTATAACATGCGTGACAAATGGTAATTAAAAAGTTAAAAACTAACTGGAATATCCTGGAGATTTGATCATGTTCTGAAGTGCCTGGAAAGAGAGGTCTGAATTTTTTTGAAAATTACATCAACTTTAACACGATTTTTGATAAAACTTATTGAGAACGTAAAAAATAATCAATTAACTAGAGCTAAATGCTTTTTTATAAGCATTTTTGCGTCATTAGCAAAATTTCAATAATATAATAAAACAATATTAACATAGATTTTCCAAACAAATAAACAAACTGAAATCATGACAAAAACGAATGAACAAACAACAACAGTAATAACTACAAAAGAACGACAACAACGTCGACACAAACAACAACACCTTCCAGTGAAGAGTTCGGCCAAGATGCATCCACAGCTCCACAAATCAACAGAACTTCCATAGGGCAGATTAAGAAGTACCTCAGGGGATCTGTAGTACAAGGTCACCACCTTCAAATAATTATTTTTTAAGTTTTTAGCTAAATAAACAAATTATATGTATTTATTCGTATTTGCATATGTGTGTGTGTAAATTGTGTGCAAGTGTGTATGTATGTATACATGTGTGTGTGTGTGCTATTCATGATTATGTATATACGTGATTTTTAGTCATCTCTCAAAAAGAGTGAGTGATTTTTGTTTCACATATTCATAAACAAAAAAACATACATTCAAAATTTCATACATAACATTGCAACAAAAACATCAAATGGTTACTAAATATTAGTCATCGAAAACTGCATCCTTAATGTTTGAAACTCTTATATAAAAATTACATTCAGTCTTTTGATAATACTATTTATAATAATTATTTTCCTTACGATGAATTTCACTAAATATTAATTAACACATTTACTTCAAACTGAAACTAAAGTTTGCATATGAAATTTTCTATTTCTTAAATTTTTCCTAAAATTTTGAGAACAGCATAATGCAAAAACACACACAAAGACACATACAGACACAGGAAAACACACACATTCATCTCTTTATTTATTCATTTACTAACTTACTTTTTTATTTATGTATGTAATTAATAATATCTATTCTCCATAATCATTGCCTGACAGTTTGTTTTGCATCATTCTCATTATTTAAATCAATTCTATTTTAGCATATTCTACTGACTGTGAGACAGACTGTAAAAATAACAAATGATTTAACCTGGTTCTATATAATGCTCCAACAGCATTTTTTGTTATACACTGGTTGGTAATTCAATACATTACAGGAAGAAATTAATTTATCAATGAAATTTTTTTGTTGGTAAGGCTAGCTTTATAGCAATCATTCCATGCAAATACAATGAAACATAAGATGCACTAAGAAATAATAATAATAAAAATAATAAATAATCATAATATCAAGAGCTTTATTTACAACTAGAATTTACTTTCTGTATCTAACAATAGAAAAGATGAACGATCTGTTTGTTTACTGCTAGGTAGGAACTTATACAGTTAGCAAAAAAAACATATCTTCACAAAAGTGTTTTAAAGGAATTAATTGAGAAAAGGTTATGTTATAAGATTGAGAATAAAAAAATTATTACACTGGAATTAAAACTACTTTTCTGCTATATTTTTAATATAAAAAAATAAACTAAAAATATGTAACATATCATCTCAAACAGCTGAAAATAGTATGTAAAAATCTATAAAAGTTTTCAGTGATAACATTAAAAAAGAGTGTTAACAAGAAAAAGTAAATTAAAAAATTTATGACTGGATGGAACATATAAAAAAAACAAAAAAGAAACACAAAAACTGAACAAATATTTTTGTTAAATCATACACATCGATGGCAGGTTTGAAACCAGTTTGAACTGAGTTGATAAAATAAAACTTAACATTTAAAAGAACTCACTGAAAAGCAGGAATGAGATAAAGATATAGAGGTCTAAGCTATAAATTTTATTTTTGAAACACGAAAATTAACTATACAACTGGATAGCAATAAATAGAGAAAAATTTAACAAAATTTTTGAAAAATTGTAAAAAAATGACTCACAACAGAGGTCAGAGTCATATCACATGAATAAATCTTAGCAAGGCCAAAATCAGCGATCCTGACGACTCCTTCGTCGGAGACGAGGATGTTTTGAGGCTTGAGGTCTCTATGGAAGACTCGATGGGAATGCAAGAAGTCTATTCCAGACAGTATCTGATGCATCAGACTCTGCATTTCATAATGGGGAGAGGAGTGCATTACATTAAACTTTTACATTTCACTACATTTTATGTCAAATATTTTAACTTTATTTAATTAGGAAAGTATTTATTTAGTCAGTTAATAAGAAAAATTTATTTAAACAGCAAAAGTTAAATAAAAACTTGTTTAAATTTTTAAAAATCTAAAAACTAATAAAAAAAATGCTTGAATTAAAAATATTTTACATGCTTCTCTACAAAACCAGGCCAACATAATAACTTTTATCTGCATTTTAATTTCTTATTAGATATAAAATAAAGATAATTATATCATTTCAATTAATTAAATTTTTTGAAAAGAATCTATCGAGATTATTAATAAAAATCATTTGAAGTGATGTTCACTTCATGACGCTTCCCACTGAAGTTTTTCATCAAGTTAAGCAGTTAGGCCCCAAAAGTTCAACAGTGATGAAACAAAAATTTATAAAGAAGCAACAAACTTTGATTGTTTTGCAGTCTATCCCTGATTCAGGTGATCTTGAGATGTACTGGGATAAATCCTGGTTACAGTGTTCAAAAACCAAAACCAATTTCGTATGCCTCAACGATCGATTACCGAAGAAGACATCCAAGAGCCTAAGAAAAAAATTTAAATTCATAATTTTGAAAAACGAAAATATGAAAATATAAATTTTAAATTTATATCTATAGCATTGAAAATTTCAATAAAAACTTTATCCTCTACAAAACATCTGTTCTTTTGTATCATCATTGAAATCAATACAACTCATTTTTCATGCATATACAAATAACATATGTTTAAAAATTCAAGACTATGTAACATTGTATTCTGTGGTTATTAATTAACTAATTAAATAATTAAACAAATAGTAAATTAATTAATATACCACCATTGCTAGCAAAATTTCAAATAGCAAGTTAATATAATTTTCTATTATATACCAGCACTACTTCATTTTTTAGTTTGTTATCATTTATAGCACTTAAATTTTTAAGCCAAAGGCTCAATTTTAATGGGAAAAATAAATTAGACATTAATTTAATATACAGCCTCAGAGCTTGCACTATTAAAAAAATGTATTTTGTCTTGGGCAACTTAAAAAAAGCCTTTTAGCTAGCTGAGGCGATCATTCAACAACTACAGCAAAAATTTTTACAACATCACATTTCAAACTAAAAACAAAAATTCTTTTTCTAACTTTACAATGTTAGGATGCCCAGTTTTTTCAATATGTTTCAGTAATCCAATTTCTCTGACGGAGCTTGGTGGGAGTCCTACCCAAAAAATTAACAGAGTTATTTGTTAATTCAATGTTAACTATGAATAAAACTATAAAATAAAGTATAAATTATTTATATTCTCCATCTTCTGATGTTAAAAATTAATCAGGTTCAAGGGTTTACAGCACAAAAAAATAGCATCACATGCATTTGCTATATAAAAAAATAGTAGAAGCATGCATAAAGTAGTGTTGATTATTTCATTTATTATTTTATTTACTATATTAAAATAAAATTAAAAGCATATTTTGTTGTGAAATAAAATAAATATAATAATGTTAATAATGTCAAGCTGTAAGTAGTGTATCAATCAGTGAAGAAAGGCAGACAGCAAACAACGGAGAACAGCAGTAACAAACCATCTTCATTGTTTGTGGGCAGGATGACTTCCTTCATGGCCACGTACCTCCCCTTCACGTTCTTATCTCTCCCCTTGTAAACTGTGGCGTAGGCACCACGGCCGATTGTACTGGAGACTTCATAGTCGTCCGTCTTTGTACTTTTAAAGAGGTTGCTCATCTTTTAATTTACTTTTAAATAATAATAAATATATTTCGATTGCATAAAAAAATAAAAATACGCGCTTATATTTTGCATAAATGCATACACGATGCCTATTTTTATACGGAGAAATGATCACTTTTTTTTAAAGAAAGTATGAGTATTAACAATCAGTCCAACGATGTATGCTTATTCGGCACCAAAATTATATATCACCAATCATTAATAATGGCTATGGCATCGCAATTTATTCAACGCATGTGGCACAATCCATTCTATGGACAGGCCTTTTTGTAAAGTGAATAAATCTCCAAAATATATGAATAGTCAGAAATTTTTTGAAAAAACATACAATAAACCTGAAAAAGTAATTAGTTTTTAAAATCTTACAAAGCGATACACGTGCGGCTTTGATGTTGAATCAAGTAAATTAGGCTGGTGGTTTTTTATTATGTTGATGTTTTGAGCATGAAAATGTATGAATTGGTAATGGAAATCCAGACATTTTTGTTGTATAGTATCTTGAATCGATCAAGTTGTTTTGATTGTATATGTATTACTGAATCTGCAATTTAGTTAGATTTTTCTAGAATGTGGCGCTTATATAATAAATTAGGTTGGTAGTCTGTTACAAGCATTAGCTACCTATAAAAGTATAAAATATAGTATAATTTTGAAAATTTGCACATTATTGTACAAGTCTAAATCTAAATTATCTAAATTCCTAATAACTTATCAGATATATTAAAATAATTGAACCTAAGGACCCAAAGGCCCCGGTTTACGACCGTCTTCTTGTTCTCACTTCTTAACTCTTGTTAAACACTCTTATGCTAAATCTGCTTTGATTTTTCTGGTCCTTTTCCCTGGAACTTTCTACCTCCTTCTCTAACTAGTCCTCCATCACTTGCAAATTTCAGAGCAGATCAAAAGATATAGTTAAATTTTTTTTTTTGTATTTTTGTGACTAATTGTCAATATTAATAAATAAACATAAAAATAAATCTAAGTTTGGTGCTTTATGAAAAGTACACTAAGGGAGTAGTTGTGATGCAAATTTTGAGGCCACTATAGAATGGATTTTGTTGGCTCATCAATATATTCACCACTTTCTGTTTCGGAGTTTCAGACTTTGAAGTTTGCAAAAAATATGTATGTAATATAACATTTACTATTTTTAGATATTATGAATAATTTGGCGTGAAGGTACCCGGTTGACAATTATCCAGTATATTCGTTTGTTGGTGCTCCTGCAAATGTATTACGGTAGTCTGATTAGGTTGAGAAGCAAGTGGATGATTTCATCAAGGATAAGCTAAATGATGTAGTATATCTGGGCATCCATATGAAAATGCAACCAGATTGGGTGATTTAAATGAACTGTATCACAACACTGGCTACAATATTAATCACAAATGTTTTTTAGGATTTTTTAGGATCTAGTTTGTGCTCACGGCTACAGAGCTCACTTTTTTTTAACGCAACAGTGTCTCGGTTACAACTTTGAGGAAGCTCACGAAATAATTACGAAAGAAATGTGCATACCAACCGAACAAACGATATTTGCTCATGGAATACAAAATTGATGCAATATATATTGTCACTGATAATTATCAAAATCAATTAATTCAACAACAACAACACACGTTTAGACGACATTTTCCCCGAGATCGGGGGTTGCCGTTTGGCTACCTATGATGAAACCGAAATACCCCTCGACGCCATCCACATCTGTCACTCGCCTCAGTATCACGCAACCCCGCTTTCACCCCTTCCTTCTCCACCTGCTCTCTCAATCCCAATCGCGGACGACCCCTTCCTACCACTCCTTCAACCTCAAACTCCAACGCTCGTCTAATCCCGACCCTTTCATCCCTTCTCAACACATGTCCATACCACCGCAATACAAAATCAATTAATTGAAAAAGTATTAAAGGCCTACAAAAAAAAAGGTTTGCTCCATTAATTTTAATATCAAAACTAAAAAGTACAAAGTAGTTATGGCTGGCAAAGATATTACTCAGTTAGACCTAGCCATTTTAATGAAAGCTGTCTATTTTATTGGCAATTGTGTTTCAAGCTTCAGTGCTTTCGTTTCACATAACAGAAAAAATCATGGAAAAAACTTGCTTATTGGGGAAAAATGCAATTTCTTTTTCTTTAAATATAGTTAACTTAGAGGAACATTGCAAGTGCTAGATTAAACTGACAACTACAATTGTTTATATAATAAAAATATATACATAAATTGACAACAGATAATGTTCAATAGAGCAACAATTTTACAGAAAAGTTGTAGCAGTCTTTATTAACGTTTTTATTTTGTTCTAAGAATGATGTGTACTCCAGAGTCACTCCACACAGGTTGACTGAGCTCACCAACTTTCAGTGCAAATGCTGCATCTTCAAATGACTTCTGCATTTGCCCTTTCAACAAATATTTTAATTAAAATACTTTAATCTCTATCATTACTTAAACTTGATAAATTACCTTTTCTGAATGGACCCAAGTCTCCATTATTTTTGGCTGAACTACAGTCACTGAATTTTGAAGCTAATTCCTCAAATGATTCAGTGCCTGAAGTTATCCTTTCTCTGTATCCTACAAAGAAATTCAGATATATAAAATAATTTTCAAATTTAAATTTTATTCACATGCATAATTTATAATATATCTAAAATATAAAAATAGTATACCCAACAGTTCTTTCAGAGCTTCTTCCTTTGTTTTAGTTATTTTGTCTTGTCTCCAAGATGATGGACGTCTGGATTCTTTGTGCTTCACCAGTAAATGAGAACATTGAATCTGATCCATACTTTTGCCGTCTTTTCCTGGTTTTTGCCAACTGCTTTCTTTTGTTGCAGTGTTGAAATAGTAAGGTTTACCTTTGTAAATTTAACAAAAGTATTTAAATTTTAATGATTTCATCAACAATTAACTTATTAAAGCATATAACAAACATTCAAAAGCAAATGTAAATCTAAGTGTCAAATAATAATTGCTTTGGTTTAATGAAAAAATTTAAATAAAAACATAACAAGAATCAAAAATATAATTATTATATTAATAAAATAAAAAAATTTTAAATACCCCGTGGCCTCTATGTTAGCATTTTCAACTCAGATGAGCTCTAACACTCAACTGCTAACATTAACTTAACCCAACTAACAGCATAACCATATATTATAACTGCATAACATTAGTAGTCTTTTAAAAGCATAATCAAAATACAAAACCATGATCATTAATGATTAATTTGATCATAAAATAATGTATAACGGATGAACATAAGCAAGAAAGTAAAATTTTTATTATACACTACCACTAGTGACTAGTCTAATTAATTAAATTACAGTAACAGTAACACTAACTAGCCACTACAAATTATTATAATCTTTATTTTAAAATAAATTTTCTTTATTATTATAATTTTGAGTTTACTCTCCTGCTTGCGATGTCAGCATTAAACTTCTCAGACAAAAATAAGAGTAGATGAAATATGACAACCAGAAATTAAAATCGAGACAACATTTATCAAATAAAATGAAACTAACCAGTTGAACGACTGATTCTCTCTTCCCAACCAGAAGGCAGACCAGCCATCAGCAAGAAATTTAACTGTAAGTGAACGCAATGGGCTAATTTTTAAATATATGGAAAACCAAATGCACTATTGTAAAATTTCTGCAAAATAAATTTATTTTATCACGGAATTTTAATTTCTCGTATTGCAACTATTGTTATCTGTGTCATGCCTTTTTATGAACTTGGGGCGGCGTGATGGCCCAATGGTTAAGGTCGCCTGTGCGTGCAATGACCGAATTTAGCAAAAAGATCCCTGCCTGTCAAATGCTTCGTGTGTGATGTGTCGTATTTATGTTAAAATCCGATTTTTATAAGAAAATAATTTGTCATAAAGAAAAGTAGAAGGTTGTCTGAGATTTGTTAGCATGAGATGATAAAGGGTTCAATTATTTCTAAGAAAACGCCTTCACTTATACAGAACCGCTGAACCTCAGAATTCTACGTACAAAATTAAGCAATGGTAATTGAACTCAATGTTAACCAGCGAGCGTTTGAGCATCCCACAATAATTTACTAGTCTGCTGTCAAGTTTAAATTCTATAGAGCTACGATTGGCAATTTTTTAAGGATATCTATGAGTTTAAGGGCACCATGGGATGTCGTGTTAAAAGTGAACGTGAACATCTATCGCGGAAGGCACACAATCAAATGAAATTTTATAGGGGCAATACGAACAGAATCTACTCTGCGCTAGGCTGTGACGAATCTGATAAATTGTACACCCGAAATATAAAAATTGGCCAACAGATGCGTTCATAAAATCAAAAGAAATAACTATATTTTACAATTTTAATGAATGTGAAAGAACATTGAAATATTTTGAAACTTCATTGGCAGTTATTAAAATTTTATTGCGTTCCAGCTTTATCAAATATTTTCCACACCTGTGTTTAAATCTATCAATGTGCCACATGATCTGGTATTTTTTCAGCAGATGTTTAAAGTCGTTTGAATTTTTATCAACTTTAGGAAACAAAAATGTTTCAATATCTGCAACTGTCCCACCCGGCATTGGAAAGGGCCATGGTATGTCTAGATAGCTTATTGAAAGATTATTATTTTGATTATTTCTATAAAATTTGAAGAACTCTTCACAATGTTTTAAATGATGAGTGCTGCTGTCTTGTTTCCTATTTTTAATTCCTTCAAATAATTGTGATCTAGATTTATTCATTTTTCTTTCAAAATCATCTATTTTTTTCTGCGATATTTTTGGGTATGATGTATTTTCAAAATTTGATGATTTTCTCTTATTAGCAGTATCTGGAAAATGTGTGTGCCTTTTCAACTTGTACTCCTGAGCAATCCTCTCTGCCCAATCATTGTAGGATTCACGATCATCAAAGGAATCTGATAATTTTTGTTTTAGTTTATATAAATTTACCAACAAATACATTTGGATAAGTATATTCAAATGGAATTATTTTTAATATATGATTTAAAAACTAATAAAAAATTGTTTTTGTAATTTACCAAAATAATAAGAATCTTCATTGAAAAAATCATCAGCAAATTCATTCTCCAGTTTTGAATGCCAGTCGTCATCTTTATCATCCTCACTTTCATACTTCATTCCACTTGATTTTATCTACGTTTTCAGAAAGAAAAGATATTAAATTAAGCTTAAAATTTTATACTAAAATTTATCATTTTAACCTTTTTAATGTTTTCAAGATGATTAAGGTACAGAAATTTCATTTCATTTGCTGTAAAACCAAGATGATCCTTGCATTCAAAAGATTTTGGGCATATTTTCTCGATATATTCAACCAATTTGTTGTATTCTGCATTATCTATAATAACAGGATGAATAATATTAATAATAATAACCCATAATATAAAAATAATTTGTACATAAAATAAATAAAAAATAATAATAATTGAAAGAACTAACCTGAATTATTTATTTGAGCTCCTAAGAAAAGTTCATGAATGGGAAGATGACCATTTTTGTTATTTTTTATCATGAAAAAATGAGGACTTTTGAAGTAGTACCTTGAAAATTGAAAGACTTTAAATTTTAATTAAGTTAGTGTTAGATTAGGCAATCTTTAGTAATAAATTACTTTACGAGGGAATAGCAGCCGTAGTAGCAAAGTTTATGAAGAACGTAACCGCCATCTTTGAATTTATGTTCCCTGCATTCTCTCTCATGGCCATGCCTCCTGATGTAATTCCCCAACTTGGTAAATTTCCAACTTCTCAAATACCTTAAAAATTTCTTCTCGAACGACTTATTAGCAATTCGGACAGCATCCAATTTTTGTTTCGATGACATTACAAACTAGCTGTAAATTAAATTAATAGTTATTTTAGTTTTAAATAAATATTCTTGAATCTTAAGTTTATGTTTATTTACCTGGTTCGTTAACTTAGCAACGAAGGGAAACCGGACCTGATTGCAAATCTATGTCGAGTGACAACAGTAAAAGAGACTAATAAATCACCAAACAGTTCAACGCAATAATCCAACTCTCTTCTTTGCTCCGTTTTTTATACATCCCCCAGTCCGTCAACCGACAGTGTAGTATAAGTAGCCGTAGATAAGTGCACCAAAAAATTTACAATCATAGAAATAAAACATAGAATATTTAAATATTTTCATAATTCAATATAAACATTTACGGATAAATTAATTATATAATAATTGTTTTTGCTGGATACAACAGTATCTAGTGTGCATTATATAGATTAATAACAAAAATATGGGCCGTGTTTTAGAATGAACAATTATTATTAATTATATGCATGCCATTGAGGTGGAAATTCACAAATGATGATGCGTATTCCAATCATTTTTCTGCTGGTTCACCTTTTTTGCAGACTCCCAAATCGATGAAGAGGAAGTGGAGAACGTTGCAAACCACACAAACTGACATGAATGAACCTGAAAATCAAATTATGTTCGTCCTGGTCAGATCAGTTCTTTTTCTTCAAGTTCTTTTTATAATTTCTCTCAAAAAATGCTCTCATAATTTAAACTTTTATACTCTTTTTCTGTATATCATCACCATCATTGTCTAACCGCTCGATCGATAAATTAACTCATAAACTCACCCATATGGAAAGTCCAGAATGACCCTGCGTACCTACCGAGTAGGAAGTTGGTGATGGCAAACGAAAAGTAAGGGATAGCTTTGCCCAAACCTCTGCAACTGCCATATTGCATCCAGGGCATCCTGGATTAAAAAATTTCATCAAATTAAATGAACAACACTGTGAAAGTTTTCCAGAATTAATTAACATTAAACGTGAATAAAGAAATTATTTAACAAGATTTATAACCCAAACGTTTAAAAAGTTTATTTATAAAATTAAAACATATCAAATTTCATTAAATCATTTTTTTGCTTTCTTAATAATACTTGACTCACTGAAGCTTGCACATGTCCCTGAACAATCCCACAACCTCAACGTAGACGAGCACCACAAACAAAATACTGCATGGCACATGTGGTACATGTTTGTACGTGTGTTGTAGACATGTTTGTACGTGTGTAGCTTGTGGTTATGTTTGGTTACGTGTGTATATAGAATTGTATACATGCGCCTGTTTTGTATGGATGAATGTAGTAAGTATAAGGTATATTCTTACAAATATGGTAAAACAATTTGGTACAAATTTGGGTTTATTAAATTTAATTAATACATACACATATACAACACATACACAACACATACACAACACATGCACAGCACATACACATTGAAATTTGTAGATAGGTTTAGTGGATGTGTTAAAATACTGTGCTGTACACTTTAGTACATATCTGCCGTCCTATTGTATGGAATGGATTGACTTTTTTTGTATTTGTTAACAAAGCCATGAAATTTTTAGGCCCTTGCAATGTTTTTCATGTGCATAAGTGAATTCAAGAAAATCAATGAACGAAAAATGAGAGGTTCACTTCTGCACGTAAGGACCTGGTATTTATTTCCTGGCAACTCAACAGTATTTGTGTAAAATCATATGTGTTTTTATATTATTTATTTTAAAAATTATTCTCAAATATATTCAAGAAATGATTTAAACAAAATAAAAAAACGCTCCAAGAAACACACCACACACACACACACGCACACACACACACGCACATACACACACACAGAGGTTTTACAACAGACCTATTGAAAATGATGATGTAAGGTGCAATGCGTTGTGGGAACATCTGCTTGAAGATGAGTATACCTATGAAAATTCCCATGTGTACTGCGATGAGTGTTTTATTTCATTCAATTTCGATTTCTCAAAACGATTGTTGACAAATTTGTCTCAATAAAATATAATACAACATTTAATTAACAGGTCGCCATTTTGGCGACGCAATTGTGAAATGGTTAAGATGCCTGGCACTGATGTTGCTGTGACTATGTTCGAATGCCAAGAGATTCCATCACATCGCATGTAATGTGTGATGCGTTGAATCCATTGCAATACATACACATGGTACTGTGTGTTTGTTGGTGATGCTATTATTAGGTGATTTTAAAGAGTGAATTGTGTTTTTTTTAGAATTTTGATATCATACTAAAAGCTGCAAATTTGTCAATCCCGTATAGAATGTAATAGATTGTCTTGCTCATTGCCGATTTTTATCTGTTTAAAAATGTTTCTATTCATCAATTGATACTTATTTTCAGAAAAATGGATTTAGCGAAAACACAACTCAAAACAAAGTTTTAAAAGTAAGTATTATTGTGACGTTCAAAACAAAATAGAAAAATTTGAAGAAAAAAAAATTGTAGTGTATGTCCGCATTTTAGCATTTATAACGGTATCATTATTAACCAAAATGAAGTCACCAATGTTATTTTTCCTCTACCACTACCGGCCACCATTAACAACCACTATTAACTACCTTCAGTTTGATCGTTAACATTAACATTATAAAATATCATCCTCAATATTTAATAGTTGTCATTAACATTAAATTATTATTAATAATAATAATGTTATTATTATTAATTTTATTATTATTATCGTCATCTTCACCACCGTTTCCATACACGTCACCACCTTCTTCTTCATCATCATCAATCAATCAATCACCACCACCCTTGCATTTTCCTAAGTTAAAATAAATTATGATTTATTAATTATAATTTATTAATTATAATAATTTGTTATACAAATTTTAAGCGTAATTGGCTATGATAATTGGTAGCAACAACAATTTTGAATATAGTTCTCTCTTTGCGATCGAACACGGTAACTGCAACTCAGAAGAGGGCGCTCTACCATTACGCTATTAAATGACATCAAACCTTTGAATTGTTCTGAATAAAAATCTTGAAATTTACTTTAATTTTAATATTAATAATAATAAGATCAAATATTATTTAATTCCTCAATATAATTCTATTTGTTAGTTACATAGTAACGATAGTTGTAAAGTAATAATTAGATGACTGGATGGAATGAATGAATAAATGGATGGATGAATAAATGGATGGATGACTGAATGACTGACTGACTGAATGAATGAATGAATGGATGGATGAATAAATGGATGGATGACTGAATGACTGACTGACTGAATGAATGAATGAATGGATGGATGGATGGATGGATGGATGGATGGATGGATGGGTGAATGAATGAATGAATGAACGAACGAACGAACGAATGAATGAATGAACGAATGAATGTACGAATGAATAATTAAATTATTGAAATAACAATATAAATAATAAAATTACAACTACAACCTCCAATATCAACTAGCAAGAACAAAAGAAGATTGCCAGCAGCAACTCCCGCCAAAATGCTGCCTGGAAAATTTCAAACGATGTTTAACAACAAATCAAATTTCAGTAATTTAAATTTAAAAATTTAATAGCAGAAAATAACAGATAACAAACTAATATAGCAACAACAATGCAACAGCAACAAAATTATGTAACAAAAACATCAGCAACAACAACATCATCATCAAATAAACAGCCTCTCACACTTGAACACGACCCGAAAACATTGGACCTCACTTTTGACACGATGCTATCCTTTTCACAGCAGTACAAACTTACAGCATCTAAGGGCTCCAAACGTAATTCAGTAATAAAATCACTCAGTGGGACCTCGTTTGGCAAGGAAAAAAGCCCGCTGCGGACATACAAGGCCATTGGGCGATCAGTCCTTGCTGGTCTCTACTAACTTCTGATACAAGCTACAGACTGCAACGCACACAGAATGCTTACTGCTTTACGGGTGGGTAATCACTGGATGCCATAGGATAGCGTCAGAACAGCACCTTCTTTCCGCCTTTGAGTCATGTCATGCCGAGATGCTGCTCAACGGATGGCCACCCCCGACTCCTAAAATAAATGAAGCAGAGCAATAAGAAGAACGCTGGCCCAACTCTGCTCAGGTCACTGCATCTCTCTTAACAGCTACAAAGCAAGAATCGACAGTGAGGTCAGCAGTAACTGTCAGTTATGCCGCAGTGATGTTACCCATCTGCTTGGCTGTCCGGACAACCCTACACATTTCACGGTAATAGATACTTGGCAAAACCCGGCTGCCGTGGCCAACTGGCTCCGGCCCCGTCTGCACTCCTCCAACGACGTTTGAAGTGGGGCAACAACAACAACAACGACGACGAAGACAACAACACAACAACGACAACAACGACAACAACAACAATAGCAACAGCAACGAACGACGACAACAACAACAATAGCAACAACAACAACGGCAACAATATTTGCAATGAAATTATACGACTAGTAACCCAGGACAACAGTCCAAAAATGATGAATATCGCAGTAGAAGTCTACGAAGCACAGCAGCCCAAATGTAATGAACTTTGTTATGCCTCTCAAAGGACCAAACTTTCTGTAGATTGTATGTAATAGATAAACAACTACATTGTATTTTTATTTGGTTGAATTGGGTTGTATTTAGTTGTATTTGGTTGTATTAGGTTGTATCTACTACTTGTTTTTGGTGGTATTAGGTTGTATTGGGTTGTATCATTTGGTCCCTACGTTGTATTATGGGTCGTTATCACAAATGTCATCATTTTTAATTATAGTTACTGTTGATGTTGTTGCTGATTGCAATAAAATACAAAAATGAGAAGTAAAGTGTGTTTTCGGTATAAAGGTATAGGATGCCATCCGTCTATACAATGAACAGTGATGATGCAGTAGGAGGAGAAAAAAATTTTGGCAGACGTACGAGAAATTAAATTAATTAATTTAATTAATTAATTAAATTATTTAATAATATAATGATTATAATTATTAATAAATTAATAAATAAATAAATTAATTAATTACCACTACTACTACTATTATTACTGTTACTTCTAATGCTACTAAAACTACTACTACTACTACTACTACTACTATTACTAGTAGTAGTAGTAGTATTACTACTACTACCATTACTACTATTACTATTACTGTTACTACTACTGCTACTGCTACTATATTACTGTGGCTGTGGTTGATGCTGCTGCCTCTTTTACTACTACTACTGTTGTTTCTACTATTGCTACTTATTACTACTGCTACTATTGCTGATACTGCTGCTAATACTATTTTTACTACTTTTAACACTTGTTTTTACTGTTTGTTAGTGTATTTAGTGTAGTGTATCTATCTTATCGTGATACTATATCCCGGACTTATTTCTCAGACGTGTGATAAATGATCGTCGCGAAGCAATTCATTATATCAGTGGGACATTTTAAATATCTTGTTACTTCGGGTGCAACTGACAATTATGTATGCGTATTTGAACGTAGTATATCAAAATAATAATTATCCAATATGATTAATATTTACCGTGCCTTGTTCATAAATGTTTACAAATGTTTTTAAATGTCTGTACGTTTAATGCTCCTAAATATGTAAAAATCGGATATATATATATATATATATATATATATATATATACATATATATATATATATATTGAAATGACAACTGACATTTTAATATTACCACACGCACGCAAAAACACACGTACACACGCACACACATCTTAGACGCATACACGCGCGTACATCTAAGATATACACGCACACTCACACACACACAGACACACACACACGCAAACGCAAACGCATGCACACACGTCATCTACCATTCAAACATTCAACCAGACAATATTAAATTATGGACAACCATTTTAACCCGCACTTTCCAGGTTTCATCATTTTGACGAGACTGTGAATCTCGATTATGACCCAAACTACGCCCACAACCCTGTCAATCAAGAATTTATCGAGCCATTTTATTTTTATTTAAGTACATTTAGAATACCAAAGTTATAACGTTAAAAGTTAATTAATTGGAGTTGGTTAACTGCTTTTATCTTGACTTGTTTGTTCATTGAAATGAATCATAACTTGTGTAAATCTGATTTTTAAAAAAGAAAAATAAGAAGGAAATTTAAAAAAAATTGTAACTTTTAATGACGCACAGAAAATGCGCGCAAAATCACATACAGACACACAAACATCACAGACACACACAGACACACACACACACACACACACATCACAGACACACACACACACATCACAGACACACACACACACACATCACAGACACACATCACACACACACATCCCACATAACGTCGTTGCACGCTTACCCATTATAAACCATGAGAAACCATCGGTGCTTCTCCGGTCTCAATTCTTCCTTTTGGATCAACCAGCCGTACACCATCCAGAAACCTTTACAATTTTTGTCATTTGGTTTTTTAATTTGTGGAAAAAGTTAACTAAATTTGGATAAAACTTAAAAAATTATGATTTAGTTTCTTGTCATTATATTTTAATTTTTGCTTTAGAACTAGTCATTAATTAATATTAAAACAAACATTCAGACGTTATTAATGAAGTTTCCATTAATTTATTAATTTGATGTTGTTATTATTGGGCGACGTGATGGCTCAATGGTTAAAGGTGCCTGGTCTTGCTATTGCAATGACTGGGTTCGAATACAAAGAGATCCCCGCCTATCATATGCAATGTGTATGATGCGTGATTTGCACGCGTATTCATGTACGCTATGTGTGTTTGTCGTTGAAACCTCTGAAGCAAACGCAAAAGAGAGAGAGAAAACTTTAACCTTTAACCTTTATTATTAAAAACAAATTAAACAATTAAGTTAAATAAAATTTTGCATACAATTTTAGCAAATTATCATCAAATGTACATCGATTTAATCAGACATCAACAATTACAAAGCTGACCGACCTATAAGAAGGAGCTTATCAAGAATTTGGATGCCCCCGTTCAAAAACTTGGTCAGTCCACCGCTGAATATATTCCGTGAATCAGAAATTATTTTTTACTATTTTTTTCATTTTTATTATTTATTTTTAAAATCGTACAAAAAAATGAAATCTTCAACTGATACACAAAAGCACGAATAATTAAATAATTAAAAAAACGATTAGACGAGATTATTTAAAATCCATAAAAATGAATTTTAACATACAAGAATGTACCTTACGTTTAAAGTGATTAACGCTTAAAGTGATTAACGTTTAAAGTGTTTAACATGTTTATAAATGTTTAAAATATGAATTATTAACCCGCCACCGCCGACCAGACTCTTGCCTTCATCGTCATCTGACATTTCGAAACCTCCGGCGTGTCAGACTGTCATCAAAAAAGGATGTTATATTTAAAAGGATGAGTAAATTTCATCGATTCATAGATTAGCAACGATTTGATTTAATTGATTTCATGTTGAACAATTATGCAACCGTTTGCAATGTATATGTGAATGAAAAATTGTTTGTATGTAATGCGTTTATATGGGTTTATGTCGGGTGTATTTAAAATTTTAGCCCCCATCGAGCTCGTCTGGATCCGCCATTGCCCCTTATAAACCCCTATCCCTTAATTTTCACAGTTCTACGTTGAAAGTTATGCTTCAACATCTAGAAGCCATAACAAAACTTTGCCATCTTCAAGGAGTTGAGTGAAGTGTTGTTAGATGTATTTCTTACTAATGCCCACAAATTTTACCCGAGGTCCTATGTGTTTAAATTTGTAAATAGATAAAACATCCATAAATCTGCATAATTGTGGAATATGTGCTGACATTGAATTATGAGAGCCAGAAAACATGTGTATGCACTTAAGCGAGCAGGTGGCAACATTTAAAATGCACGTACCACAACATTGGTGCGGTGTGGCTGGCATATTTCCACGCAAACTCTGTAATCAGTCACGAGCTTAGGAGAAATATTTTTATTGAATAACTTCATCCGCACACTTGTGTGTGTATTTTGCTATCAAATTGTGTAAATCATGCAAGAGAATGCTATTTGTTTCTAAGCTCTAAGCTTAATTTTTGTTACCGAATAGGTCGCATGTCCGATTACTCTCTTAATATCACATAATTAATATCTGATAGAATGTTTGATTTCAATTTCTGATAAGTGATTTATACGTCAACTTAATCATAAGGTGACTGCATTCTATTGACTGCATTCAAATGCCCGACATTTCAATTACTAAAAGAAAGCAGGAGCGTGCAGATGCAGTGGAATAAGGTGTACTTGTTGTAAGGCAGCAGTTGTTTCATAGATACCTGCTTCAACAAAAGCATTTGTGTGCCGTGCATGAATAAAAGATTCGAATGGCTTCATAAAAAAATGTAAGCCTTATATCATTAGTGCTCAGGCTTAATTGTATGCCGTTGTGTTTCGTGTTAAGTCGTTTCAGATTTATTTTATTTTAACTATTTGAATCTATTTTTTGACAAATCAATTTTTTGTCTAACTTTTTTTATAGCAAACAACACTGCAGACTTGTTCTATTTCAATGTAGAGTAATTTCAAATTTATTTGTTAACCTTCGTTATAACGAGAAGTAGTTAACCTTTTCAAATTATTATTAAACGACTTTCAGTTGATAACGTAATTTTCAAGCTAAATATTTATTGTTTACGTTGGAGTAAGTAATACGTCGTATGGTCCAAAAAATATAATATATAATGTATTTATCGTATCTTCAAAAACAAAATCGCACAACAGCAAAAAAATTAAGTCAATGTTTACTTATAAAGTTTGAAAGGAACAGATGAATGAAAATATAAATGATAGCCTCAAGTTTAAGTTTCGTCAATTTGATTTACATGCGATGTGAAGCATAGGATGTTCATTCAATCGAACATCATGCTTCCCACGCCTCTTGTAAGGATGAAATTTTCAAATGAGGTCAGATGCATTCGAGGTCGGATGCATTCGTGTTGGACACCAGAGAGGATATCTGACCAAAACTGCTCGCACTGACCGAATGAGATCTGTTGCTACTGCCGCTGCTGCCGCAACCACTGGTGCTGCTGATCGACGCCTGGTAGAGCATGTCGAAGTAGGACCAAGTTGAATCTTTGAAGGAGGGAAGGTAGAGGAAATATTTTGAGACCAGGTCCAGAGGAAGGAGGAGATGACCGACCAGAAAGTGGTTCTTGAAGTTGTAGTGACGTGCGCATTCTAGCGGCACCAACATTGAGATCAGGGTCTCTGGCTTGATGAACGTTTCGTTGGGTTCCGAGTCAGATGACGTCATGTTGTTGCTCAAAGTGTTGTTGCTGTTGTTGATGCTCGTGCAAAAAGTGGTCGACGATGACGACGATGAAGAAGAGGGGTAGTCGTCATCATTCCATCCTGCAAGTATAACAAATATTTCATAAATGATGAAACAACGGTTGCCTAGTTAGCTCAGTCGGTAAAAGTGCCCCGTGTTGTTATTGATTATTGCGCGATGACTTGATTCGAAAACTGTCTGCTCCTAACTCAAAAACTATCATACGCTATGCGTGTGTGATTTGACGCTTTCCTGATCATGCAGAAGAACATGCACGTACGTTGTGTGGTGTAGGCAGTACAGCTTTTGTGGCGCGAAATTTTGACTATTTTTATAGATCGGGAGTTAGCCAGTTCTGCACATGCCAGGGCTGCATAATTAAGATCGAAAAAATTATCTAACTATAATATAAAATTGTTTGATAATGTGTTAATTAATCACATAAAAATTTATAAAATTTAATTAATAAAAATAATGAAATTAAAAATTTTGAAAACAATATGCCCTCCAAATACTAACCGGATGGCAAGTTGATGCTGACGATGGGAAGTTTGCTCCTGCCGAGAGTCTTGATGATGTGGTTGAACTCGGAGCTTGGAGGCCCTGCGTTGATTTAAATTATTTTTTGCTTCAATTTTTCCAATAAAATAATTTTTGTTTCTTAATTATTTTGATGAAAAATTTTCTAATTCTTTAAAAGTTATGTCTAAATAAATACTCTCATCGATCTTCTTCTAAATATCAACCATCATTTCAAAGCATATAGAAATCATATCAATTTATCATTCTGAAACAGCTTGTAAACTATTCTCTGAGCAGAGCAGTTGTCAATGCTTTAAATATATATTTTAATCTCGTAAAAAATAGATTTTTTACAATAATACAACAACCGAATAAAAGCACGACCTTCAAAGTTGAATCCAAAGATGGCATCAACAATGACGTTGTAAGAATCGGCGATGAGCTGTGGCTCAGAGGGTAGGTAGAAGAGGAATGGGATGCCGTGACGTTCGCACTGGTCTGTCAGGGAGAGGTTGATCTCCTCAGAGGCAGGTTTCGGGTAGAAAACTGTCGGTCTGTAGCCCTGTGTGCGGTTGCCAAATTTAAAAATTTTACACATACACACCTACACACACACACGCACGCACACACACCTACACATGATGTGGATTGAAGATATGCAAATCATAAAATGTCAATAAAACAGCGGCCAGACGAATGCATTGAAGATGAATGAGGATGTCGCGAAACAATAGCAATCTATAGAGCAGCAAGCAGAACACATACTTGTTCTGTATGATTCATCTTGTCAATCATCTTTAAACTAAAACACGTAAACAAACACCACACAACTTCATCTGTTAATTTCTAAATTATTCTTCATTTTTTATTTATATGGACAATGCGACATGGGTGACAATCGTTAAAATGATTTTATATGATTTTGTGGACTTTGTTTTTTGTGAAATAATTGGAAAATGTTTAAATATAGTGAACTCATCCAAATTTAAAACAAATTTTATTTCCGGTGTTATGATAATCTTAGCAATTTAACGCTAAACTGTTGAAATGTCATCAATTTTTCAAACACACTTAGGAATTTTGAACTATTAAAAAAGACTGATTGAATGTATGAGTAAATGAATGAATGAATGAATGAATGAATGAACGAACGAACAAACGAACGAACAAATGAATGAAAAGATAAATAAATGGACAAAATGAACAAACAGACAAACGAAAAACTAAACGAAGAAAAACTCACAAACAACTTAAGATGTCTAGCACATACAAGTCCTTCAGCTCCATTTCTGCCAGGACCGCAACAGACCAGAATGGAACCCTTGTCTTTCGTCAAACTGGACTTTGGGTAAGCCTTTGTGGAAACATTACAATAACCATCATCTTACACACACACACACACACACACACACAACATATATGGACTGCACCTTTGTTGAAATATTACAATAACCACCGTTTTACTTATACACACACAAACACACACACACACACGATGTGAGTGACAATGGTATGTTGTAACGAATTTGCTTTCACAATTCTTTTCAATATCTCACAGAAACACCAGCAAAAAACACACAACTCATGTATATTTAAACGTGAATCTATGTATCGCACATGTCATATGTAATAGAAGATCTCTTTGCAATCAAATCCAGTCACTGCAACATCAGAGCCAAGGACCTTAACCATTATACTACTGCGCCGCCAAATTTCGTATATAATGGTAAAGACAATTATGATGAAAAAAACATGATATAATAATGATTTAAACGATAACGAAAAAGACGATGATGATGAAAGTGATGATGACGGAGAAAATATTGTTATTGAACGAGGTGACAATGGCGCGATAAACATGACTATAAACTTATCTAGCAAAACATCATTCATTTCTCATCGTCATTATCGCCAATATACAATACTTTAGTATTCATAACCACGTTTTATGTTATCGTAATGAGTTTTCTATACATCATTAATCATGATACATGATATAATATATCATATTATGATACATGAGATGTATCAGCAAAACCGCCACACATAGGCCATTATAAACTCATCATATTTGTATAAGCTTTAAATCTTATCATCATCATTATCACCATCATCACTATCATCATTATTATCCTCATCTTCATCCATCATCATCTTCATCATCCTCATCATCATCACCATCATCGTCGTCTACATCATGACGTCATTTCTTATTTGGATTACGTTTAATTTGCTGTTAGTTATGTTCACTTTATGGTCGGATGAAGCAGGCCTCATCATTATAAACGTCAGCTGGTCAGTGATGGCAGAGTAGAAATGGCGATGAAAACTGCATTGGTAATTAAAATGAGGAGGATGATAACAACGATGAGGACGATGATGATAATGATGATAACACTGATAATGGTTATGATGATTATGATTGCACTGATGATAATGATGATAACACTGATAATGGTGATGATGATTATGATTGCACTGATGATAATGATGATTATAACACTGATGATGATGTTCATTCTGCTGTTTTTGTTTTTTACGGTGATATAAAAAAAGTCGGTAATGCTAATATGGTGTTTGTTTAGTGTTTGTATGATCCTGACAATGTAAAAAATGGCGAAGTGAATGAAGTGAATGAAGTGATTGAAGTGAATGAAGTGAATGAAGTGAATGAAGTGAATGAAGTGAATGAAGTGAATGAAGTGAATGAAACGAATAAATCGAATAAATTGAATGAAATGAATGAAGTGAATGAAATGAAATAATGACGACCAAGAGAATGATGATGGCAAAAAAAGGTACGACATTGAGGGTGACAACACAAAATGAAGGTGAAGATGATTTTTCACGTTGATGTTGATGATGATGAAGAAGATGATGATCGAAATTGTAGCAAAATTAGTAAAGAATCAATCACATAAACTTAAATGTTCAATCACAACGGAATAGCAAAAAAAATTCTAAAATTATTTTAAGCACATATGAATAAAGAAATAAAATAATTAAAAAAAACATTAACCATCGCGTGCAGTTTCTTTGAAGAAATGATTTTTTTAATAATTTCAACTAATGGCAAAAGCGTCAAGAGAAAAAATGAAATATATAACAAACACCGCAACGAAAAATGGCTAAATGAAAAAAAAATAGAAAAATAAATTAAAAAAAAGACGATGATGTCATTGGAAAAACATGATGACGTCATCTGACATGACGCTGCCACGTATGATGAATGATGACCGCCGCGAATAGACTGGATGGAGTTCGCCTCCAGAATTTCAATGTAGTCCTGAAATGTTTTTGGCGACGACGACACTTCACTCGGTCAACATTTTAAAATTTTCACTACAGCATTTTTCCAAGAAAATATTTATTTTTCAATAGTTTTCCTTTAAGCGATGTTTGTCGTCCGCACAATAAAACCATTGAAATTTAATTGGCAGTTCTTTAAGGCTGAACAGAAACTTCGTCGTCACATCATTTCTAAGTTTTAATAAACGCAACAAATAGTTGTAGATCTGAATTTTTTTTTTCTATAAAAATAAAAAATTAAACTTTTATTATTTTAAACAATAAAAATACCAATAAATGATGAAAAAAATTTCAAATTTATATCAGAAAAATTGTAATCTGAGGAATTCAATAACCAAAAAATAAGTAAACAAACTCATCTATGAAAGAAATATACCAACACATAAACAAAACATTTTGTGAAATTAATGTACCAGTGGCAAGACATATTATTGACGCGAGGAACGTCAGCGAGGAAATGAATTAACAAGGCGACATAACACGTAATTCAGTAAGCTGCCAGCGTTATTCAACTGCGTATTACATAAGTCTACGCTATAAAACAACATCAATCAACCACATCTCATTTTTTATTATCAACAATGAACAAAATTTTTGAGAGATAAAAAACAACACATTTTCATTCATTCATTCGTTCGTTCGTTCGTTTGTTCATTCATTCATTCATTCGTTTGTTTCTTTAACACCACTCACTTCTATAGTCAATTAATTGTTCATTTATTTTTAACCAGCTTAAATGCAACCTTGAAATTTATTTTATTTCTACACTTTAAAACCATCCTTCTAAAACCATCTTTTTTAGAAATTAATTTAATTAATTAGAACTGAGACATACATACTCACACACACACAAATTAAACACACACACACGCGCACACACGCACATTTTTTTTCAAAAAAATTGTCAACGTACATAGGTAGTTAGTTCTTTCATTCTTTCATTATATAATTTTTTCATCCTCTTAATCTCGAGCATCACTTATATATCACGAAGATGAAGATGAATCAGAGGAATCTTCCCCGAGCTAAATCATGTGTAAGGACTGAGGAACCAACGAACACGTTCATCATGCATTCAGTCACATCACACACACACACACACACACCACACACACCACACACACACACACACACACACACACACACACACATACACACACACACACACACACTTTAGACCACTTAAAGAGAAAAATACTTGCCTATGCACACTGCCAATGTATACTGGCATATGTGTCATACACCACAATATAATGAAAATTCTGTTTAAAAATAAATTCAATTTTGACCATTCTAAAAACATTAAAGTGCATCTCAAAGCATCATTTCAGGAATTATTAAAACGAATGCAATTATATTATAATAATTAAATAAAATGTTCATGGAAACTTTTCACCATTTTAAAAATATATATCAGCCATTAAATGCTGCCTTTCATAGCGTTTAGTATATATTATAACTTTTTTTATTTACTTGTTTAATTGTGAATCATAAAAAAGTAACATACATCTTCTCAAGTTAAATTATTTAATACATTTTTTATTAAGAAACTTTAAAACCGTCACAAATTTCAAACCAAGTGTTTAATACTTAAAGGTATGACAACTAGTGTTTGCTTGAGTCCAACCATCCCACTGCCTGATTGTATTCCAAGAAAGATTTGTATACGGAAAATCGCACAGCTTTAAGCTGATTCAACTTTTATTTAATTATTAATTTTTATTTAACTAATTGTTTATTTATTATTCAACTGTCTGAGGCCAAATTTTTTAACGCAATAAATTTTACGCAGTAATAATTTTTTTAATAATAGTTTTAAAATTTCTATACGTAATGCGGTTGAAAAAGACAACAATTATTACGCACTTGAATGCACGTTAGCACGCAACGAATGGGCAGAAAAATGAAATAAAACGTCCGATCGACAGCCAGAAAATACTTTCATTGTAAAATATAATGCATATACATATGTTTGGATATATAGAACATGCAAATTTGACACACACACACACACAAACACACACACACTTGAACGGCTGTAGACAAACAAAAGCACATATACACACATATCTTGGTTGGTGTGGTAACGTTTCCACAAGACATCAACCGTCAAAGAGAATTGCCTCCGCGTGGAAAACAAGCAGCTGAATATAATTATATTTCTTCTTCCTCTTTCACCGTTACGTCATGTTTATAAGAGTAATAAAAAGGAGAATGAACAGATGGGCAAGAAAATGCAACGGCAAAGTTGTTGCAAGTATAAATGGCATTCAAGATGAAAAGAATATTAATAATCGTGCCATAAAAGTTCGAACATAACTCTAAAGAACAATAATTATAACAATTAGCTCATCATAATTTAATTCTAATTACAGAAACAAAAACAACAAAAACAGAAAAATGATGATCGCAATAAAAACATCAATGACGCAGACAAAATCATAGAAAAACCAGCATCAACAAGAGCCACTTCAAAGTAAGATAAGTGTCAATAATTCTCTCAATAGATCGTCTTGCCCTTACAAATATACAAACAACTTACGAACGAAGAAGCAGGTTCGTTGAAATCTAGATAACAACAACCGGAAATAAACAGAAGTGGATTTGAACTTGGTGTCATTAAATTCGACGGCTATTTTCTTACGTTAAAATTATTTAAAGCATTTTTTACTAAGAAACTTTAACAAACTCAAAAAAATATAAGAAACATATTTTGTATCTTCAAAAAAATAAACAACACATGATAGAGTTTTGGGTTTTTAAGTAACTTGAATAGAAAAAGTGTATTTTGCTACCAATTTATCGAGTAGCAAACTCAAACTACATTAAATAACAAAGAGCCCAATAACATAAAATAGCAAGTTATAAATACGGCAACATAAAAATGAAAACTATACAGAAACAAAATCTTTACTACTCAAGCTAAACAAGCACTATACAAACACCAAATGTAAAAACAACGCTATCAGACATTATGACAAAATCTAAAAACACTGACTTTTATTATTTAAACAAAATTTTACTTTTTGGGAAGTAGTTAGAGCA